CTGTGTCTTCCCAAGAACAGTCCCACCCCGTAAAAGGTCAAGGGTCAGTCCCAGGTAGTCTGTGCTCTGGGCCATGCGAGCTGCCACACGTTGGGGGTCAGCAGGGCCTGACCAGAGCACGCCGTGTGGACTTGAATGACGGGGGAGGCAGAGGTGGGAAGGATCAGAGGGCTTTAGAGAGACTGGGCAGGGCTTGTGCCCTGGGGCGAGGAGCCAAGGCAGGCAGAGTGGGGCACGACTCACGAGTCCCAAGCTGCAGAGGGTCTTGGGGCCACAGAGCCACCATTGTTCCTTCACGAAGGAGGACCAATGCTCCTTCACCATTGTTCCCCTTCACCAAGTCCTAAAACTTGTGTATTGAGCGCTCATTCTGTGCCAGGCACTATGGTGGGCCCTGCGGGCGTGCAAGGGAATCCCTGCCCTCTGGAGCTTCTGTTCAGAGCCAGTGGTCAGAGTGTGCGCGGCCGCTGCTGCGGGTTCCAGCGGTGACGGCTCCGAGGGCAGGAGGAGTCTGGGTAGAGCTGGGTGAATGGGCGGCTAAGCCGGGCAGCCTGGCTCTCAGCAGGGGTAGGTGCCCTGGAGCTGTCTGGGGTGGGTCCGCTGGCCCTGACCTAGCTTGTTTCCTTCCTCCGCTGGGTCTAGACCCGAGTGTGCTGAGCCACGTGCTGGAGGGCCACGGGGACGCTGTATGGGGCCTAGCCTTCAGCCCCACCTCCCAGCGCCTGGCCTCCTGCTCTGCTGACGGCACCATCCGCATCTGGGACCCGAGCAGCAGCAGCCCAACCTGCCTCTGTACCTTTCTCACAGCCAGCGGTGAGTCGGGGGAGCAGGGCTGGGCGCGGAGTGGGCGTGGGAACACGTCACAGAGGAACATGCCTCCCCACGAGGGGCCCAGGCTTCCCAAGTCCCGTCCCGCAGCCCCAGGGCAGGACCAGGTCTGTTAAGCAGCCCTCCCTTCCCTGTGCCCTCAGATCATGGGATCCCCACCTCAGTGGCCTTCACCAGCACCGAGCCCGCCCACATCGTGGCCTCCTTCCGCTCTGGCGACACCGTCTTGTACGACCTGGAGGCTGGCAGTGCCCTCCTCTCGTTGGAATCCCGGGGGAACAGTGGTAAGAGGGGCCTCAGGGACAGGGGCTGGTATCTGAATGCCTCCAGGGCCCCGGTTCCTCCTGTGGCTCTGCTGAGCCGGTGTCTCATCAGCAGAAGATGTCTCCCCTACCCCCTCGGGGGCTCTGGGTAGGAAGGAGATAAGGTCCCAGCAGCTGCCTGGCTCTCGGGAGGGCTGAGGGGACAGAGATCACCAGGAACTCGCCTGCCAAGCCTCGTGGTAGAATGCATGGCCCTTATGGGTGGCTCGTACCCATCCTGTGGCACCCCAGGCGTCTTACGGATGAAGCACTGTGGCCCAGGGAAGGGAGAGGCCTGGGAGCCCAGGCCCCCGGCCAGCTGAGCAGACAGCAGGGCCGTGGAGCCGTGGTTCTCTTCCTCTGGTCTTTGTCCTGGTCTCCCTGATTTCCCCGACATCCTTCCCTCTCCTCCTCTCCTTCCAGGCCCAACCCAGATCAACCAGGTGGTGAGTCACCCAAACCAGCCCCTCACCATCACCGCCCACGACGACAGAGGCATCCGCTTCCTGGACAGCCGGACAGGTGAGGCCCAGCCTTCCTGGTCCCCGCTCACTTGTGCTCACGGTGTCCCATCGGGCCCTTGACCTTCCCCGCCAAGGGAAAGTAACCTGCCGCCCACCCTCTCTCCTCTCAGGGAAATCCGTGCACTCTATGGTTGCCCACCTGGACGCGGTCACCTGCCTAGCCGTGGACCCCAACGGCGTGTTCCTGATGTCGGGAAGTAAGTGGGGACTCTCCTGGCTCCTAAGGAGCAAGGGTGTGTGGGAGCCGAGGAGGAAGAGACGCGGGCACTGGTCACGAGGGCGTATTCTGGGGCCCCCTCTCGCAGGGGGGCAGGGGCAGGGAGCCTCCCGGCAGAGACCGCGCACGCTCAGCCCACTGGAAGCTTTTGCGTGCGTCTTCCCGCTTCATCCAGATCACGCTGTCGGCAGGGTATGTTATACCCGCGTGCAGATGCGGAAACGGGCTCGTGGAGGTTCCGTGATTTGGTCGAGCGTGGTGGGTTGGCTGCAGGAACAAGTCCGAGTGTGTCTGGCTCTCAGTCCCCACAGGATTGTTAGCATTTGGAGCCACGTGCTCCGTGGATAAGGGCACTGGGGCCCGGCCACCACGGGGCTGTGCCTCAGAAGGATGAGGTGCGACATGGGCAGACGGGGAAGGGAGGTGAAGCGTATGCCGGGCCATCAGGAGTGCCATGGGTGAGGGGCCTCCTTCTGCTCACCTCTGCTCCCCACTGTCAGAGTATGTGGGAGGTTGCAAGCGAGCACACAGAGGGCGTGGGAGAGCACGTGGACGGGCCTGGTCCCATCGTGGCTGGGTCTTTGCCTGGTGATGGTAGCAGCTGTGCCTGCAGGTGCCGGTAGAGGGGGTGGTCAGGGAGGTCAAGCCCAGGGCAGAGAGGATTTGGGACAGGGCCCAGGTCCTCCGTATATAAGGGACACATCGAGCCAGCCTCCGCCACAGCCAGCCTGGTCCTTCGGACGCAGAATTCGGGCCGTCTCTGAAGGCGGCTCTTGCCCCAGGGCCCGGCCCTGTCCGCTCCACCCTCTCTGGCCTCCTCTCCATGCTCCTGCTCAGGCTGCTGCAGCCGTACCCGCCTCCTGCCCGTCCCCTGGCCACCCCTGCTGTTCCTCCGCATACCCCCGTGGCCCTTCTGTCATCACGGTGACCAGCTTGTGCCGGTGCTGCTGTCCGCCTGGCATTGCTCCTCCTGTTTTCTCATTTACCGGGGGCCACGTTGGAATGTCAACAGCACTGGGTGGGCAGCTTTGCCCAGGACGTTCACTGTGTCCCCGGGGCCTGGTACGCAGGTGCCCGGTGAACACTTGGTAACTAATGGGTGGACGGCCACCTGGGATAAAAGCATTCTCCTTTGGGCTGGGCGTCAGGAGGTGGCCGGCCGAGGTGGGAGACAAGAGGATGGAGACCCCCCCCCC